TTGAACACTTTACTCGAGAAAAAAAAATAATAAATTGAATAACCTCAAAATGTAGGTTGACATTATATATATATATATATATATAATTCTAACAAAGATGGCGATCTATTCTGCTAGGGTTTTGCCCGATGATGAAACCCTGGTTTGATTCCTAACTCGACGACGACGACGACATTGTTTCCCGCACTCGACGATGACAACGACAAATCGTTGTCTTCTCTCTCGCGCCAAACGACGAAGGGCTTCGGCGTCTGCTTCTGCGGTTTCGTCGTCTCCTCCTTCGCGCCTTCCAGCTAGCCTTCCAGCTTCTGTGGTTCTTTTCTGCGGATCGAGCTGCAGTTTCTGTCGAGCTGCGACTTCGTGCCCTGTCTTCTGTCTTCTGCGCATTTCATCTACAGTTCCTGTGCAGGCTTCTTTGCTGTGATGGAGCTTCTTTCTTCTTCGGTTGAACCTGACAAAATCTCCTCTTTTGCCCACGTGGTGGGTAATTCTCAGGGGGAGACGGCGATTATCTTCCCTTCAAGTTATAAGGAGTATCATGATGATACTGACTGTCCCTTTGTTAAGAATGCAAACAGATAAAATGAAAAAAATAACACTTTTTTTCTCCACGTCAGAAATTTCAACGCTGACTACAAATTTAAATTTGCTCTTATTAGGAAATTTTAGTAAGGACACCCACTTATAGAAGTTATCGAGAAAAGTTTTGATGACCTCAAATTAACAGAAAAGTGGAAAGTGGGGCTTATGGATGGGAGACATGTATTGATTCAGTTAACCGTGCCTGAGGACTACACTCGAATTTTCTCCATAAAATATCTTAACATCGTTGGTAAACCTATGAAGCTACTCAAGTGGTCTCCTGATTTCGACCCAAAACATGAAACTTCCACTGTACCGGTACGATTTAGTTTATCTGGTCTCAAGTTGCATTTTTTTCAACATCAAGTTTTCTATTCTATTGGGGCCATCCTTGGGGATCCTTTGAAGCTAGATCGACCTACTTTCAACTTAACCAGACTCTCGTTGGCCATAATACTTGTGGAAAAGGATATTACTTTACCTGATGTTACTGAAGTCTGGTTGGGCACAACCCATAATGATTATTGACAACAAATCGTCATGAAGCACATACCCCCATATTGTACCCACTGTAAGAAGTTTAGTCATGTCCTTGATAAATGCCACAAGTTTCATCCAAATTGAAATTTAAGGTTCAAGTGAATAAGGATGGGTCTAACCCCACTGCTCTGGACATTTTAGTTCCATCTGGGGAGGATAATACCAGACAGGAGATGTCTGTTGCCCCTGAGGATCCCCCATGACACTGCTATTACTGTTACTATGAGTGATGTGATGCTGGCACCTTCAAACCTCATAGAAGACAATACTGATGTACTATCATCTACAAATGATAGTGTTTAGACTGATAAGCAAGAAAACCTCGTAGCTCCACTTCTTTAGGAAGTATCCAGTGTAGAGGCAACTCATTTTTCACATATAGTAGAACCTATTGTGGGTACTACAGTTGGTATTTATTCTGCTTCAGCTCTACCACCCCATCGGACCGATTCTTCGAATGAAGAATGACAGGTCTATTCCAGGAGGAAGAAGAAGAGTGGATACCGACTCCAACTCGGGAACATATTGGATGATACATTGGTTACTACTGACAATGACGATCATCTTACCAGCTTATTAGCTCGCTCCTTCCCTAGTACTCGAGGCAGAGGCAAGACCAAATTAGGTCGCTCTCTAGCCACCTGATACTTTGTATTTCGACACTGTTAGGTTTTTTTAAGTATCTAATGTCTTTTTCTATTTTTTTTTGTAGTTTTGGAACCATTTGTGGTTTTTGTGTGGGCATGGTGCCATGTGTGGGCCCTCCCACACATTATATCTGTATATTTTTTTCTATTTAATATATTAGTCTTTTTGGGCTTTAATATATATATATATATAAGAAGAATAAATCGTCGCGATTATAAAGATTTGTAAGGTCATTTCAAGTGAAAATTTAAGTACATAACATTGTTTATTAGTTCTAGATTTTAAGATTAAGAGTTGTAAAATAAAGAATACTTGGACTCATCATCGTAAAATTAGATGAAGAAACTTAAAAGACAAATAAAATTATTTTTATGAGTAAAATTATAGATTTCAAAATTTGAGATATTCATGAAGAAACAAATGTTTTGTAGGATAAAGTAACAAACACTATTAAACAAATAACAAAAATGTGCTTGGTGAATCGAAAGAAAAATTTTTTATAAATAAAAATAGTTTGTGGTAGAATAATAATGTGCAAGAAAAAATAAAATATAAAAGTTATGTTATAAAAATTGATTTAAATGTAAAAGTTTAGAGAATTGAGAAAAATATCAAACGACCCGCAGGGAGTCTAAAATAATAATTGGTGATTCTAAAAATTCTGCTTTAATGATCTTTATAATAGATTAAATACTAAGGAGGGTGAAAAATATATGTATAAACCAGTCAAACAAAGAGAAAATAAAAGTAAAGATTTAACTCAAGTAAAGTGTATTAAAGATGAAAATAAAAAAGTACTTTTCTTAGAAAAAAATAGGGAGATTTATTCGAATAAGGGAAGTATACAACGATCGACAAGCTGACGACTCCTTCTAAAATAAAAGAGAAAAACAAACAAAAACAGGGTAACAAGTAGATAAATGACTAAACTTAGGGATTGTTTTGGGGCAGTTGCAATTATTTGAAGCAGCTCTGAAACTATTGCATAAGAAACTGCTATTAAAAAAGTTGCAATGACTATTACAAAGGCTTTTTCAAAAAGTCGTACCGTAGCTTTCTAGCAGCCACCATACTTAGTCATATCTGGTTGCAAAACGCAGCTAAAATCAGGCAAAACATAGTTTTGCCAAACAGAAAAACTGCAGTGTAACACTGCATTGTCACTGCACCGTCGCCCCAAACGCACCATTAATCTTGCCTTTATTCAGCCACATATTTGGCACATTATGAAGTTATTCTAGACTCGGAGAGAAACTAAACAAAATTAATAATTTTCAGAAGAAAAAGGGAATCATAAATATTTAGTTCTATATATAGTTGGTTATCCCATATCTTTTTACATCAGAGATTGGCTTTAAGCCCTTATCTTGTTGCTTTAGTTATGGATGGTCTTACTGAACATCTACTCTTACTGAACATCTATATGGATGGTCTTACTGAACATCTACAGGAGGATGTACCTTGGTGTATGATTTTTGCTGATGATATCCTTCTCGTGGATAAAACGAGAGAAAAAACTCAGAAAAACTTGAATTATGGAGGTCTACATTGGAGTCTAAAGGCCTTCGTTTAAGTAGAACTAAAACTGAATACATGAAATGTTATTTTAGTAGTAATAGTTCTAGTGACAAAAGTGTGAATTTGGGTGATCCAAATTATTAAAACGTGAACGATTTAGATATCTTGGGTTCGTTGCTCAAAGCGATGGTGATATAGATGGGGATGTTAATAGTAGAATTCAAGTTGGTTGGTTGAAGTGGAGGAATGCTTCGGGCCTTTTGTGTGATAGAAAAGTACCGCTAAGACTGAAAGGAAGTAAAATTTTATATGACGGTGGTGAGACCTGCAATGCTTTATGGCGCTGAATGTTGGGCTTTAAAAGAGAAGATAATAATAAGTTAAGTGTTGCCTAGATGAGAATGATTAGGTGGAGGAGTGGCTTTACACTTAGAGACAAAATGTGAAATGAATATATTCATGATAGGGTTGGTGTAGCTCCTGTGATGGACAAAATTAGAGAAAGTCGCCTTAAATGGTTTGGTCATATTAAACGTCGACCATTAGATGATCCGATTAGGAGAGTAGATGTTTTAAATTCGACTTGTGTTAAGAAAGGCAGAGGTAGACCTAGGAAGACTTGGGCTTATTGTATTAAAAATGATCTTAATTTACTAGAACAAAAATGGTCTTAATTTACTAGAACTAAATGAAAATATGACACTAAATAGGACGCAATGGAGAAAAAGGATTCATGTAGCCGACCCCACGTAGTGGGATTAAGGCTTTGACACACACACACACACAGACAGACACAGACACAGACAGACACAGACACAGACACACACACACACACACACACACACACACACAAACACAGACAGACACACAGACACACAGACACACAGACACACAGACACACAGACACACAGACACACCAACAGACAGACATCGATTCTTTAATATATATCACATCAAAAACGCCACCACACCTAGGGTTTAGGGTTTAATATCACATCAAAAACGCCACCACACCTACTAATTTAAAGTGAAGATGTATACATACATACATACATACATACCACTCGATTCTTTAATATCACATCAAAAACGCCACCACACCTACTAATTTAAAGTGAAGTACATCTTTTCATGTATAGGATTATGATACCAAGGTGTTATAAGTGTAAATATCAAACATTGGGTGTTAGATATGTAAATATTTAAGAGTTGTGTGGTATGCATGTAAATTTCCCTTTCTTTTTTTTCTTTTCAGTTCGTTTCTTATATTGTCATTCCAGTGTTGCATCCCCAGAAACATTGTTGTAGCGGAAAAGTTAGCTCTTTGAATTGTCTCTCTACCTTGTTTCATCTTTTTAAACTTCTATTAGTGATAGCGGACATACCATTATGGCTTTAACCAATAATCAATGTGATAATGCAAATAAAGGAATAAAGTAGGTCAAATATTATTGTAAGTAGTTGTTAAAAAAGATATAACTTATCCACATCCACAAAAAATAAAATTTTTAACTTTAAATCGAAATATACATCGATCTGTCAAACAATTGATCCAAAATATTTACCGCAATGAGGTGGCTGCAAATGTTTTTGTTGCTATTGATGTCATTTTCGTTGGGCTTGAAAATGACACTCTGGTTGAAGGCATAGATTTGGAGTTTAGAAACTGTTATAACTACATTTTTCTCCTTTGATAATTGAGGGGGGCAAGGCTTTTGCACTAGTTAATCTCTTGGGAATCAAAGTGATACTTGTCTCACATAAAATATGAAACTTTTATGATCTTTTACAAAAATTGTTCGGAAATCTAATTTGCTTTTCAATCATTTTTCTGTTTTAATCAATTTTTTTGTCTTTTGGCTGGTACATATTATCATTTAAGCTGTTTTAGTCTTATTGCTTCTGGTCAAATCAACGAAAAATACAATTCTACGAGTACATTTGCAATTAGTCATTTGTATCATCTTTAAAATGTTTAATACTCCTTATGTGGCATTCTGTGAAGTAATAATGAAATATTTTAACGTGCAGTTAACAAAATATCTAAATCATATTATGATTTTATACAATTTCGTTAATATTATTGATTTGGGATAAAAAACCAAATAAACAAGTAAACTTCTGATTTCATCATCCTCTTGTGCTAAATCTCAGTGTTTTGCTTGCTGCTTGGATCTGTTTAGTACTTTATTTATTATATTTATCCCTCTTGGGTAGAGAAGAGTTCTCTGCCTGTAGCTGAGCAATGTGCATGGGCATTGGGAAATGTTGCTGGTGAAGGAGAGGAACTAAGGAACATCTTACTCGCACAAGGAGCTTTAATGCCCCTAGCTCGCTTAATGATGTCTGATAAAGGTTCAATGGCTCGAACAGCTGCTTGGGCATTGTCGAATCTTATTAAGGTTTTTCACTATTAGCTTTGTTTTTTTTTTTGGGACAAAACTCATTCTCTAACTTAAATTTTCATTTTATGAGAAATCTTAATTTTATTGTCGTCAACTTACTCCGCTATTGATTTTTCTATTCTTAAAAATTTGATACCGTTTGAGTTGTCTTAAACCAAAAAATTCCTTGGAAAGAATTATGTATCTCTCTTTTTACTAGTCTTAGCGACCTTGCTCTCAAATGTTCAAGGTTATGATGTTGTACATTATTTTGATTTAATGCGCAAAAGACGCGCCTAGTAATTTGTTTGCATCATTTTTTTGATAAGTACATCTATGTGCTATATGCAAGCTAATTTATTTATTCTTTTCCTTGCTTAGCAAGGCATTTTTGAATGGAGTAGCAAACCTATGTCATTTTAAGCTACTGCGGTTTAAAATGCTGATTAAAACTAATTCCTTTCGGTTGGCTGGGTTGGTTTCTGCTTGAAGTAGTTCTAGATAGGAGTGTCTTGTCGAAAACTAGGTGGATTAGTTGGAGATTTCAGTTCATGGTGAAATCTCTATTTTGAAGGCTATCTAAAGTTAAACCCAACCTTCCTATTACACCGAAGCTGTCGCCATTCATTCACTTCCATGGTTGGGTCGAAATACATCAAATTATATTACTTTAACCAAATAGGGGCAGCCAAATGTATGTGTCTCAAAATAAAGATTTGGTTGACTTTTTAAGTTCTTAATCCAGTTCTGTTACTGGGGTTAAAACCATAATAAAACAACAAATATTATTACTTGGAAACAAACGGTTACAATCAATACCCTGGAATGGAGAAATACAATAACACGCACAAGCAAACACCACTAAAGTGTATCCCAATATTAGTAGAGGTCGGCTAGGTGGATCAGAAGGGTTGGCGGGGGTGGCGGCAGCAAAGAAATGCTGGTGGTAGCAAATGCAGGGACAACAAGTATCGAGGTTGTTCCGAGTGGTGGCAGCGAGTTTGGGTGGATAACAAAAGGAGGTATTTCCGGACTATCTTGGGCGGCAGCGGCACCATGGGAGGGCTGGGGCAGCAGGAAGGAGATGCGGTTTGGGCGGAAGCCTTGCTGGAATGAAAGGGAAGGCGGCCGGTTGGTTGAGGACTGCAGAAAACAACAATCTGAGTGATGTTGCGGGCTGTTGTAGCGAGGTACGGAGGTAGGGAACAATACAGAAGGGAATATGCGGAAGATAATCACAATCTCGGGAGAGAGATACGACTAACGCAACACCCAATCTCTCGGAAACAACCCTTGAAGGGGAAAACGAACGTTAGCGACTATCCTGATAGAAATCTGAAATCTCGAAGAAAAATTGAACCCTAAGACAACATATAACATATTTATAATAAGTACTAGTAGTTGGGATATGGATGAATTGGAATAGGAAATAAATAGAATTAGGAAGGAAATAGAAAAATGCAACGAATCAAATAGCAAAAAAGGGACTGCAGTACTGTAACAGGAACAATACCACATTCCGGTAAGCGCCTGCGTCAATCTCTCGGGCTTGGGAGAGCTTTGACTTCATTCGTCGAAACTTTTGGCTTTTTGTCTGTAATCCTAACAACACCTGAATCCCGCTGGCAACTGCAGCGTCCCCAAGACACCTTGTCGGCGCTTAAAAGGGGAAAAGTTAATGTTTGGGGGTCGCCCGTAAGAAGCTGTCGGTTGCCGGAATCGAAATCCCGTCACCCGCTTCGGAAAGACTTTTTAATTTACATATATATATAATTTTAGAAAAATATGAAATCAAACTGACCTCATATTTTTCACAGTTTAAATGAAAGAGCGCTCTACCTCAAATCCTGTATCTATCCCGAGGGATAAACACAATACTTGAGGATGAGGCTCAATCAAATAAACTAGGAAAACATATGACGTCCGTTTGGGTCTGCGAAACCGTTTTATTTGCCGACAA